AGGCAATTTGTCTCTTTTTATTTCTTTCTCTGTTTGTCTGTGTCTCTCCATCTCTCTCTCTTTCAGATCAACAGGATTGCATGAATAATACATAAACTGTCAATCATTTCAGCACATTATACTCCTGTCATCTTCTGAGCCTCGGTGACACATCCATATTTACACACATACACTTTTTTTACCGTTTGGTCCATTCCCTCACTTATCATCCGCAATCTGTCCACTTCTTCACTCAATACAATCACACACACACAAACCTATCCAGCATGAGGGGCCAGAAATGGACTTGATAAATGAAAACCAATTCTTGAACCTTACATTTAGTCACCCAGTCTTTAATATTTGGTTCATTCTTGTGAGTAGCTTCATATATCAATGACTTAAATCGATGAAACACACACAGAGAGATGTAATAATCAATAACGAGCCTTAAGTTTCTTAATTTTCTAAACTATTGATAAAGCCCTATGATAAGCAATCCACGACTCCCAAGCACTTTATATAAGAGGTTTGCTTGGTTTGAAACTCATATTAAAGTCACATTTGCATTGTCATCTGTATTTAATAAAAACGAGTCATTGAAGAAAGAGTAACAAGCATGAAAGTTAAATATGTCTCATAGAAGCAGTAGGAGAGGGGGTAAGGCTCCAGATTGTGTTTAACATCCCAACAGTCTGTTCGTGATTCGGTATTCGTTCCTCAAAACAAGTTATTTTATCTCATTATCCGTTTTAGATCCGTTTTAATCGAACACAATTAGCAGCTCATAAACCCACACTTGTGATCATTCATGTGACAACATTTGCAAAAGCATCTCTTTATCAATTAACTCAGAAAAATAATGACAGAGAAACACGTCGACTGTTAAAATAAAACAGCGAGAGACAAACTCGACCACGTGCTTCAACTTTAAAACGTGTGAAGAATTAAAAGCGTGTGGCTACACAACATCACCTGCCAAAACACTTCATCAATTAACTCCATCGATCAATTAAAACATCAACAAACACACTCCCCAACATGTAAAGGCTTTCGATTACCTGATTGAAGGTAAATCCTGATTGAGTGAGTGCAACTGCCCTGATAGCACACATAGGCCTACATAATGGAGATGTCTATTTGACGTTTGCATTTACATCTGCAAGACATATTTTTAGAGTGTTTGCTCATAAGCATTATGTCTATAGGACATTTCTTAACAGATGTCAAATAGACGTTTAGAAGATGTCTTTAAGATGTTTATGATTTAGAATGAATGTAAAACTGACATTTTAAAGACGTCTATCAGATGTTTGTACACAGCAGATGCTTTCCAGATGAAGCGATCTTTAACAGACATCTTGCAGACGTACGTGTGCTATCTGGGTGTGGACTGATTGTGTACTAGTGGTTGTTTGTTCGTGAAAGAATCAGCGTTTTAAACAACTCTTTTAAGTGAACAAATCGTTATCATTCAATTCGATGCTGCGCTTTCACTGGATCTCCCTTTGGAAACATGTGCATGCTTTCCTGACTATAGCACAAACCAATAGCATTCGAGCACATTCTCTAAAGGAGAATTTCATTGGTTGAACATGCTGAAAGAATACGCCTCCTTCACTACACGAGTCAACAAGACTGAGCAAAAGAACCACTGAATAAACATCTAATTTGTAAACTAACTGAATGAACTTGGAGGTGGCAATGAAAAAATTGATGAACACTGTTTATGGAGTTTCGTAGTATTCCAGATAAGCAAAGTTTAATAAAATACAACAAGGCTTGTTTCGGTATACTTGCTCGAGTGAATGACAATGACTTACTAGCTCCATAACACACAAAAGATTTGGTTGTCGCCACCTGCAGGCATAACCATGTAGAAAGGCCACTGAATGATTCGATGAACAAATCGTTAATAGATTAAAAAGATTTGAATCACTGAGATGCATTGTCCCAGCCATTAGTGGGTAGATGTTTTGCTAACCTTGGGTGTGTTTCCCAAAAGCAACTATGGTCGCAAGTTCCATTGTTACCAATAGTTCAATGGAACTTGCGACCATAGTTAGCTAACGATGCTTTTGGGAAATGCACCCCTTCTCGAGATGAGAAAGAAGCTTAACCTGAATGAACCTTCTCATGGGAATTGTTCATAAATGGACTAAATGACACCTCATTTGTAAACAAACCAAAAGAAATTAGACGTGACATTGAACAAAAAGAACAAATTGAGTATTTAAAAAATCATTATGATGCTTAAACACTATTTATTGAGCTTCTTAGTAGATTTGCAGAAAAAAAGTGTAGTAAGACTTTTTCGAGCAAAACGATGGCGTCTGATTTCGCTCCCCTAGTGACGTGGCAAAGGGATCTCATTATAATATTACCGCCCCTTAATCTGCACTTCCACCCACGGCACCGCCATTGTGTTTTCGCAAGCCACAAAGGTGTACCAGCTCTAATGCCATGGCGAAAGTTTGAGCAAAACATGCAAACTGTTCTGTCTTTGGCAGAACACTGAACATTGCTGCTGCCACACAGATCTAATATAAAAATACAATTTATTTCCCAGCTGTTTAACTTCACAGACATAACCGACTGTTTTTGTAACTTGTGTGTTTTTAACGTAAACTTGTGTTACTCACATGCTTTGACAGCCGCTTTCTGTCCGTGTGCTTCGGATGTGTGCACTCAGAAAAATGTATATCAGCAGTTTAAACTAATATGGTTTAAAGGGGTCATATGATGCTGCTAAAAAGAACAACATTATTGTGTATTTGGTGTAATGAAATGTGTTTATGCGGTTTAAAGTTCAAAAAACACATTATTTTCCACATACTGTACATTATTGTTTCTCCTCTATGCCCCGCCTTTTTGAAATGCATAAATTTTTACAAAGCTCATCGGTCTGAAAAAGCGAGGTGTGCTGTGATTGGCCAGCTGTCCAGTGCGTTGTGATTGGCCGAATACCTCAAGCGTGTGACAGAAATGTTACGCCCCTCACATACTGTTGATGCCGTGTCCGGCCGGAGCGACAAGACATAAACATGAAAACCCATTATAAACGAGGCATTTGTTGCATCCAGTGGGGATATAATTACTGATTATAATGACTTATACTGTCTTTTTACGCGTTGCATTGCATCGCGCCGCGTAAACATAAAACTCTGTCTGCATTTGTGATCGGAGAAATGACAAACAACAAGTGCTACTCTACTGCCCAAAACTCGCGTTTGAATCATCAGTGGCAATGAAAAACACAGCGGCCTAGCGTGAGGGGAAGCCCCGGCTTAGCGTGCGCAGATTCCGGGATAGAGTGAGGTGAGGCGGGCTGGACTCTGCTTTGTCCACGGTGAAAGTTGATGTATTTCCTCAGCGACCAGCACGGATCAGCTCTAGGCATGATGAAGCGGATATTGTCCTCTTTTGGAAGACCAAACAAAGTAGTTTCGCTTTCACAACGAAAAACACAG